AGGATATGTCCTTCAACGCACATATTAAACAAATATGTAAGACTGCTTTCTTCCATTTGTGCAGCATCTCTAAAATTAGAAATATCCTGTCTCAGAGTGACGCTGAAAAACTAGTTCATGCATTTATTACTGCCAGGCTGGACGACTGTAATTCATTATTACAGTCTGCAGACTGAGAGACAGCTTCTTTCACCAGGCCATCAGACTGCTGAACACTTCATAGACACCTCAGCTTCACTACTGGAACTTCAACATTATGCACTTCGTACTGTACAGTAATGCCACTGTTTTGCACATGTCTCAACTCTGTATATTTTTATATATTTTATTTTATTGTTTACTCTATTTAATTTGTAAAATATGTATACACACACACACACACACACACAGAAAACATATTTAGTATACACATCCAGAAATGCATATACTATATGCATATATATATATTGTACATATATTTATTAGTTTCAGATTTAGCCATTCTTATATTTTGCTTGTTTTACGTTATTGGATTTTGCACAACTCTGTTGCTTGTGAAGCTCGCACACAAGAATTTCACTCACATGTACTGTACCAATGTACCTGCACATGTGATGTGACAATAAAAGTGATTTGATTTGATATTATCAGGATGTCCAAAAAACTCGCTGAAAAGCCTTCAGCTAATCCAAAATGCTGCAGCAAGAGTCCTGACAGGGACTAGAAAGAGAGAGCATATTTCTCCTGTTTTGGCTTCCTTTCATTGGCTTCCTGTTAAATCCAGAATTGAATTCAAAATCCTGCTCCTCACATACAAGGTCTTAAATAATCAGGCTCCATCTTATCTTAATGACCTTGTAGTACCATATCACCCTATTAGAGCACTTCGCTCTCGCTCTGCAGGCCTACTTGTTGTTCCTAGAGTATTTAAAAGTAGAATGGGAGGGAGAGCCTTCAGTTTTCAGGCCCTCTTCTGTGGAACCAGCTTCCAGTTTGGATTCGGGAGACAGACACTATCTCTACTTTTAAGATTAGGCTTAAAACTTTCCTTTTTGCTAAAGCATATAGTTAGGGCTGGACCAGGTGACCCTGAATCCTCCCTTAGTTATGCTGCAATAGACATAGGCTGCTGGGGAATTCCCATTATGCATTGAGTTTTTCCTTTCCAGTCACCTTTCTCACTCACTATGTGTTAATAGACCTCTCTGCATTGAATCATATCTGTTATTAACCTCTGTCTCTCTTCCACAGCATGTCTTTATCCTATCTTCCTTCTCTCACCCCAACCGGTTGCAGCAGATGGCCCCGCCCCTCCCTGAGCCTGGTTCTGCCGGAGGTTTCTTCCAGTTAAAAGGGAGTTTTTCCTTCCCACTGTCGCCAAAGTGCTTGCTCATAGGGGGTCATACGATTGTTGGGTTTTTCTCTGTATCTATGAAGCGCCTTGAGGCGACTTTTGTTGTGATTTGGCGCTATATAAATAAAATTGAATTGAATTGAATTGAATCTCCTCCTTGAATCGCTACCTAATCGTGGTGGAGGGGTTTGTGTGTCCCAGGGATCCCAGGGGCTATGTTGTCTGGGGGCTTTTGCCCCCTGGTAGGGTCTCCCATGGCAAATTGGTCCTGGGTGAGGGACCAGACAAAGAGCGATTCAGAAGACCCTTATGAAAAGAATATCGAGGGAACAGTTTACCCTGCCCGGGATAGGGTTACCGGGGCCCCGCCCTGGAGCCAGGCCCGGGGAGGGTGCCCGAGGAGGGTGCCCGAGGGCGCGCGTCTGGTGGCCGGGCCTTAGTCCATGGGGCCCGGCCGGGCACAGCCCGAAGAGGAGACATGGGCCCATCCTCCCGCAGGCCCACCACCCGCAGGAGGCGCCATAGGGGTCGGGTACATTGTGTGCTGGGTGGCGGCCAGGAGCGGAGGCCCTGGCGGACTGACCCCCGGCTGCCAAGACTGGCAATAGGGACATGGAATGTCACCTCTCTGGTGGGGAAGGAGCCTGAGTTAGTGCGTGAGGTTGAGAGGTACCGGCTAGATATAGTCGGGCTCACCTCTACGCATGGCTTGGGCTCTGGAACCAGTCTCCTGGAGAGGGGCTGGACTCTGTCTCAGTCTGGAGTTGCCCCTGGTGAGAGGCGGCGGCTGGGGTGGGTATTCTAATATCCACTCGGCTTGCTGCCGGTACGTTGGGGTTTTTCCGGTGGATGAGAGGGTTTGTTCCTGTGCCTTAGGGTCGGGGAACGGGTCCTGACTGTCATCTGCGCTTATGCGCGAGTGGCAGTTCGGAGTACCCAGCCTTCTTAGAGTCCCGGGGGGGGGGGGGGGGGGTGCTGGAAGGTGCTCCACCTGGAGACTCTGTTGTCCTGCTGGGAGACTTCAATGTTCACGTGGGTAACGACAGCGGACCTGGAGGGGCGTGATTGTGAGGAACGGCCTCCCTGATCTGAACCCGAGCGGTGCTTTGTTATTGGACAGTTTGGCCATAACGAACACCCTGTTCGAACATAAGAGTGTCCATAAGTGCACGTGGCACCAGGACGCTCTAGGCCGTAGGTTGATGATTGATTTTGTAATCGTATCACCAGACCTGCGACCATATGTTCTGGACACTCGGGTAAAGAGAGGGGCTGAGCTGTCAACTGATCACCACCTGGTGGTGAGTTGGATCAGGTGGCGGGGGAGGACGCTGGACAGACCTGGTGCACCTAAACGCGTAGTGAGGGTGTGCTGGGAACGTCTAGCAGAGGCCCCAGTCCACGAGATCTTCAACGCACACCTCCGGCAGAGCTTCAACAGCATTCCGAGGGAGACTGGGGACATTGAGTCCGAATGGACCATGTTCAGCGTCTCCATTGCCGAAGCTGCTGCATTGAGCTGCGGCCGCAAGGTGGTTGGTGCCTGCCGTGGTGGTAATCCCCTAACCAAATGGTGGACACCAGAGGTGAAGGGAGCCACCAGGCTGAAGAAGGAGTCCTATCGGGCTTGGCTAGCCTGTGGGACTCCGGAGGCAGCCGACAGGTATCGACAGGCCAAGCGGAATGTGGCTCGGGCAGTGGCTGAAGCAAAAACTCGGGTGTGGGAGGAGTTCGGAGAGGCCATGGAAAAAGACTTTCGGACTGCCTCGAAGAGATTCTGGCAAACCGTCAGGCGTCTCAGGAGGGGAAAGCGGTGCTCTACCTGCACTGTGTATAGTGCTGGCGGAGCGCTGCTGACGTCGACTGAGAAAATTGTCAGGCGGTGGAAGGAATACTTCGAGGACCTCTTTAATCCCACTGACACGTCTTCCGAGGAGGAAGCAGAGTCTGGGGATGAGGGGAATGACCCGCCAATTTCCGGGGGCGAGGTCACTGAGGCAGTTAAACAACTCCTTGGTGGCAGAGCCCCTGGTGTTGATGAGGTCCGCCCCGAGTTCCTGAAGGCTCTGGACGTTGTAGGGCTGTCCTGGTTGACACGCCTCTGCAATGTTGCGTGGAGATCAGGGGCAGTACCTGTGGACTGGCAGACCGGGGTGATTGTCCCCATCTTTAAGAAGGGGGACCCGAGGGTGTGTTCCAACTACAGAGGGATCACACTCCTCAGCCTCCCTGGGAAAGTCTATGCCAGGGTGCTGGAAAGGAGAGTTCGTCCGCTAGTCGAACCTCGGATACAGGAGGAACAATGCGGTTTTCGTCCTGGTCGCGGAACACTGGACCAGCTCTTTATCCTCTCGAGGATACTTGAGGGTGCATGGGAGTTTGCCCAACCAGTCTACATGTGTTTTGTGGACTTGGAGAAGGCATTCGACCGTGTCCCTCGGGGTGTCCTGTGGGAGGTGTTGCGGGAGTATGGGGTGTCTGGCCCATTGTTACGGGCCATTCGATCCCTATACAACTGTTGTAAGAGCTTGGTTCGCATTGCCGGCAATAAGTCGGACTCGTTCCTGGTGGGTGATGGGCTCCGCCAGGGCTGCCCTTTGTCTCCGGTTCTGTTCATAATTTTTATGGACAGGATTTCTAGGCGCAGCCAAGTGGCTGATGTCATGGTCCTGGGTCCCCTGACCCAGCGTTTTTAGTTCCTTGTGATGTTTGTAATATTGTACTTGTGTGAGTTATTCTATGGTTTCTAGTTTCGATCCCTTGCCCTTCATGTTTCTCTGTGTCCCCTCTGTTCTGTGTAGTCTGTGTCTGCATGTTTGAGTTCCCCTCTGTGTCTCTCGGTTCTTAGAGTCCTCTGCCTTATGGTTTATGTCTCTGTGTTTCTTAGTTGCTGTCTCCACTGTGTCAAGTTTGCGTCTCTGTATGATACTTCCTGTTATACTTTGATGGTCCGTGTCTTATGTGAATGTGTCCTGCTTTGCTTGTCTCGTCAGTCCTGATTTCTCCCAGCTGTGCCCTCCTTCTGTGTCTCATTCCCCTCGTTACTTCCCAGTGTATTTAAACCCTGTGCTTCTCTGAGTCAGTGTCGCGTCGTCCCTCATGCTGTGTGGATCTCCTTGTGTCTCTCTGTGAGTTCTTAGTTTGTTGTTCCCAGTTTAGTTTGTCTGTTTTTTCCCTGCCAGCAAATAAAGCTGTGTTTTGAGTTCACCTCCCCGAGTCTGTGAGTCCTGCAATTTGGGTCCAACTCCTGCCTGCCGCACAGCGATTCATGACAGCTGAGGGCTTTCGCTTTGGTGGCCTCAGAATCTCATCTCTGATTTTTGCGGATGATGTGGTTCTGTTGGCTTCATAGGGTGAGGGCCTCCAGCTCGCACTGGAGCGGTTCGCAGCCGAGTGTGAAGCAGCGGGAATGAGTATCAGCACCTCCAAATCTGAGGCCATGGTTCTCAGCCGGAAAAGGGTGGAGTGCCCACTCCGGGTCGGGGATGAGTTCCTGCCCCAAGTGGAGGAGTTCAAGTATCTCGGGGTCTTGTTCGCGAGTGATAGGAGAAGGGAGCCGGAGATCGACAGACGGATTGGGGCTGCAGCTGCAGTAATGCGGATGTTGCACCGGTCCATCGTGGTGAAGAGGGAGCTGAGTGTAAAAGCGAAGCTCTCAATTTACCGGTTAATCTACGTTCCTACCCTCACCTATGGCCACGAGCTGTGGGTAGTGACCGAAAGAACGAGATCGCGGCTACAAGTGGCAGAAATGAGCTTCCTGCGAAGGGTGGCTGGCCTCTCCCTTAGAGATAGGGTGAGAAGTTTGGCCATCCGGAGGGCTCAGAGTAGAGCAGCTGCTGCTCCACATCGAAAGGAGCCAGCTGAGGTGGTTCGGGCATCTGACAAGGATGCCCCCTGGGCACCTCCTGGGTGAGGTGTTCCAGGCATGTCCCACCGGGAGGAGGCCCCGGGGCAGACCCAGGACACGCTGGAGAGATTATATCTCTCGGCTGGCCTGGGAACGCCTTGGTGTTCCCCTGGATAAGCTGGAGGAGGTGGCTGGGGAGAGGGAGGTCTGGGCCTCTTTGCTTAGGCTGCTGCCCCCGCAACCCGGCCTCGGATAAAGCAGATGAAGATGGATGGATGGATGAATTAAATTGAATTGAACCACCATCATGAGTCTGACCTCTGACCTTTGACCTGTATCTACAGCACTGACCTCTGACAGTGAGCAGCACTTCTTTCTTCATCAGAATGTTTCCCTTCCTGTTGTAGATGGTGCAGATGTAGGTGGAGTGGTCTCCATCTGTGGGGTGTTTCAGGGTCAGACTGAGGTCTCCAGGTTCCAGTAAGTTTCTTTTCATCTTTGTTCGGTTCTTGTATTCATCGTCCTGTTCTTCAGGCAGGTCAGAGCCGTTCTCATACACGTGGACCTTCCTGTCATCTCTGTCCTTCCACTCCACTTTAGCGTCTTTAGGCAGGCGAAGTGTGGTTTTGCAGGGCAGCACGACAGACTCCATCCCTGAGTCTACCACCACCTGGTAAACTGAGAGGACAACAAAGCACAACATGATGACATCAGCAGCAGCTGTGATGGTCACATGACCTCCCTGTCCCCTCATTGTCTTCTAGTCTCAGTCAGATTGTGTCTCAGTTTGTTCCTGATGTGTTCCTGACTCGTTCTTTGGTAACTAGTCTGCAGCATCCTGTAAAGTGCTCCAGACATGTTGGATGAAGAGCAGAAGAACAGACTGAGCCTCCACAGTCGGCCATGTCTCACACACATCAGCACAAAAACCATGAAGATCTCATGTGTCTGCTCTGAACATCTGAAGCTCTCCACCACATGACTGAGCACAACTCAAGGAGGAACATTTACTGAAGCTGCTGCAACATTTACTGTCAGCACATGTTTCCATGTCAGCCTGCTGTTTACCACCACAGAAGAAGAACAGCTTGTACATGTCACTGATCCGCACCACGCATGTGCGAAAGGTGTCTACTTCCACTCGAAGCATTTCACGATAGTTACGGGTCAGAGTATCTGTTAAGATGTTATCAATATTAAGTATCTTTCAATATTAAGTATGTTATCAATATTAAGTATCTCTTAAAATGTCTGCAATAATGATCTGTTTCTACAGCACTGACCTCTGACATGGTGCAGCACTACTTTCTGTCTCAGGATATCTTTGTCCCTGTAGATGGTGCAGATGTATCCTCCACTGTCTCTCTCTGTGGGGTATTTCAGGGTCAGGCTGAGGTCTCCAGTTCTCAGCAGGTCTTCATTCATCTTAGTGCGACCACAGTAAAGGTTGTCCTGGTTCTTAAGGTTGTCACTCCTGTTTGAATACACATGGGCTACCATGAGTTCTGGGTCAGAGCGAGTCCACTCCACTGTGGTGTCCTCAGGCAGGTCAGGTGTTGTTTTGCAGGGCAGGATGACAGACTCTGAGCCTTCCTCCACCTTCACCTCCACCTGCTGGTCTGAGACAACAATGAACCACAATATCAGTTGTAGAGATTTCTATGGGCAATGCATGGTCGATTTTCCCACAGACAACCACACTGGCCTCCATGTGGAACAGAGGCCAACAGTGAGTATTGGTTCCCACCTCTAGCCTACACAGGCCCCAAGGGTAAAACTTTTCTGTGAGCGTCAGTAGTCATGGTAACTGAACTGCATATGTACATTTTTTTCTTTTTGGGTCTGTCCTGCACACAGTAATACAATATAATAATTATAAAATAATATAGTTTGACTCTCTCTTTTTGGGAATGACAATTCAATTGGAAGAAATTCCTGCAAAAACATTTTATTCGTAATTTTGCATTGCATTTGTTCACAATTTGGTACTTTGCACATTACCAGCTGGTGAGGTCATGGCTACACTGTCCCCATGGACACCAGAAAACATTAATTCGAGTTTGTCATATTTTACAGTGAAGGCTCCCACAATCATATAACCTCCTATGAGGAGGTTATCATGGGTCGTAGACTGTCTCAAACCATCACTCATAAGGCTACTCTGTTCATACAAACCACCAAAACACTAATAACACATTTACACGGCTGCTGTAAACCCTTCCTGTCTGAAATGCGCAGTTTCCAAACTCTGAAACTTTTCCATATTTTTGGAGTTTCTTACCAAGGAGTAGGAACGGCAGCAACTTTTTCATCATTCTTCAAAGCAGAACAGCCAGCACAGAGTCCTGATCACTCCACTCATAACTGAGTGAATCCACATCTTAACACTCAGCCATTCCTGCCTCACTGCTAACGAACAGAGAGTATTTCCTGCCCAATCTCTGATCCAGTAAACCGGTTCAACATGCTCCGAGTCTTAGTCTGAACTTGAAGTTGATAAACTCTCTGGGGCGTGGGTGGTGCATGAGTCACCGTGGAAAGAGCAGAGCCTCCATTTGGTTTCAGTTTGGATCATGTTTATCCTTTCATTTAATTAAAGAACCACATAAGTTTGAAATAATGTCACATATTTGAACTTCCGGGATCAATAACACATAAGAAAGGTTATCAGAGAACCATCAGCGGCTGATACGCAACATTAAGGTGGATGTGAAAAAAATACCGCTGGTCTCCAGGTGTGGCTGGTTGTGGGAGAAGTGCTCAGGGACCCTCCCCAAAGTGCAACACCACAAAAACATATTGCTGCTTCACTCACATACAGTGGCGTTTCTCCCAGATCACTTTATACTGCACGGCCATCTAGTCCTATCGATCATTCTGATGTGATGAATAAAAATGTGAATTTTTTTAATTAGGAGAATTATTAAATAATTTCTTCTTACCGTGAAAATATAAAAGTTCCTCAGTACCTGCTTTTTTCCTCAACATTTTTACTAATATATAAATTTACAGTGATGAACTCGATACACTTTGAGGAAGTAATTTAAAGTAGACGTCCATTAAAAACACAGTCACCAAACTTTATTGTGTTTTGTTGGTGTTGCACTTTGTAGATGGCCTTAATAATGAAGATGAGTGTGGACTTTTATTGGTGCTTATACCACGATGGTGTCAGGGCCACAGCACTCGCATGTATGGAAGGGATAGACACCTGTAATTCATATCTCAGAGCAAAACAATCAAATATTATCACATCTCTGTATTTAATATTCTACCCAAAAATACCAAAAAAATAAAAATTGATAATACAAGTTTATTTTCATCACATAAACATGTAAATAATCTCCACAGTACTGTAGATGACAGACTGATGAAGGAGTCCTCAGAAGGATTGAGTTTAACAGCCATTTGCCTTCATGACACATTGCTCAGAGATTTTGGTCCATGTTGAAAATGTATTTTTCTGTAAACCACAGAGAGGGTTTGGAAACAGCAGGTCAGCATTTTCTGAAATAGCAGCCTGGCTTATTTAAACAGCCACACTTGTTGGGGTTGAAAATCATTAAATAAAGCCGTTTTATTATTTTTATATACACAATGCCGTGCGTTTGTAATCGAGTTGGTGATTCGTGTTTTTAGGGTCAACAGCTTCATCCAGAGCTATGACTGGGCTGAAATATTGAAGAGCAGACGTAGAGTGATTAAGGGTCCTTTTGCTGCATGCTTACACATCACACTAGATAATGGTTATAAAGATATTCTCTGGACCAAAGGGAGTCTGAACAGAATGTCCTGAACTAGATCTTAGAATCAGCAGCAGGATAATATTAAATAATGAAGGCTAGGCAGGAAGGTGATTTTCTTTTCTCTTTCTTACAGAGGAAGGAGCAAATACGAGGCGAATTTGGACATGAACGAAGAAAGGATCCGTAGGGATACAGCAGACTGCCATGTTGGTTCTGGAAGAAGATGGACATAATAATGCTTGTTATTGTCGCAGTATAAAAACTGTACGGCCCAATCAGAATCATCCTTTGTGTGAAGACAGATGGTTGATTTCACACAGAGGTCCAGTGCTGTAACTTGTACTTTCACCCACTGAAGCAAATAAATCTTTTTAAAATGTCAGATATTTTTTCTGTACTTCCTTCTGAAAAAACTTGAACACCTCTGAGAGAGGTTACACCTCTGTCACAGTTTCCTTTACTTCACTTTGAGTTCAGTCTGAAACACTGTCTGAGACCAGAAAAATAAAGAGTGGAGAGCCGCTTCACCAAGAGGTCTCTTCTCGTCTGCTCGTGTGTTTTGTGGATCACAGAGTTCCCAGTTTCTCTGACTGCTGACTGTTTCTGATAGGAAACCCTTAATGACCACAACAAGAACAACTGTTGATCATTTCTGATTGTCTACTTGCTGCATTCCTATTAGTTCCTATTATTTTTCTTCTCCTCTCTCCTCCACCTGTTACAGTGAGGGAACGTCCTCCATGATGGAGGAGCTGCTGGAAAGTGCTGAGAGTTTCCTCCAGAGTGAGACCTCTGTCACAGTTCAGAGGATCTACGGCAGCAGAGACCTTCATGGACACTAAAAGTCTCAAACACACAACAACAACATCACACTGACTCCACTCTGACATCACTGATCAATAATCAAAGAACACACAGATCAAACTGATTGATCAGCCATCAGAGGAGTCGGATCAATGGAGCTGCTTCTGTTCCTGATGTCCCCTGTTTGATCCTGGACCTGAACTCTCCCTGCAGAGGAGACACAAGACAGTCAGAGACACACACACACACACACACACACACACACACACACACACACACTGTGGAGCAGGGAAATTATTTTACTGCTATCCGGTTGTTCAGTGATGACGTGATGAATCCTACTTCCGGGCCTAAAGTAGTCTGCGTTTAATATGGCTTTTGTGTTGTTAACATGTTTAATGTTATGTATTTTCTTCTATTTGATCTCAAAAAGCTCCTAAAACAGTCAGTGATCACTGTTGACCTCCCTCAGCTTTTATTACCGCTAATCATTTATTTAAGCTCAGTTTTTAAAACCTTACGATGTAACTACAGCCCAGCACATGCAGCAGTATATGAATGACTAACCTCGTATTGTGGATGGATTATCTCAGTTGTTCTCCTGGCTGAAGTTTGGTCCTTTTACAGCGATTACATTTGTTCCTGACCACTGAGAACACTCACGTTAACTTTTATCGAGTGGAAAAAAAGTTAGCTTGTTCATATTATGCTAACATAGCTGTGTCGCTAGCGGTCACGTAGCACATCATTATATACCAGCTAGCCCAACTTCAGTAACCCTACAAACGTCACTGCTGTTTAGTTTTCTGTCTTCATTTATGCTGGAAGTGATAACAGAGCTGTACGTTTGAATTTGTTTCCCGCAGTCAGGACATGCTATATTGTATTTAGATAGAAGCTAGCGAGCTAACTCCCTGCTAACTTCTAACTCCGTTAAATGTCATAAATTCCGTTTTCATGGATGCCTGGATGTTAAACTCAATTGTTACACCTGGTAGAGCAGAACGCTGATCATTTTATTAAAGATGAAAGACTTTAGACAGTTTTTCAGCTCTCAGTAATGCCATAGTGATCGCTTGATATATGGACCTGCAGCGGAGTTTAGACCCAGACACGGCTAGTGACGTCAGACTGAACAACCGGATAGTTAAATAATCATCATCATTACCATTGCATTAATAATATAAGCTGCAGCATTGATATTGTATTCAGAGGTTTAAACAGTGTGTGTGTCTTTCAGAAAGACTAAGTTGCAGGAGTTGACAGGAAGTTGCAGAAGGCTTTGCAGAACTGAAACCGAAAGTCATTCTGAGGAGCAGGTTAGACGAGGCTATTTGAATTACTAGGTTATTCAAATTGTCTGTTATACTTTTATATTCTTTTACTAAGCTCTTAGTAGAGGTTCTTGATTAAAACATTTATTCAACATAGTACATGTAGTTTCAGTTAGGTTATTACACATAAGGATGAGCCTGTGGTCTGGTAAAAGGTCAGAAGTGCAACGGGTGAATTGAGAGAACATTTGAGGACGACACACACTCAGTTAGAGAATCATTTATAGGTGGAAGTTTAATCATGTTTTGCTCGGGGTTGCGAAAGAGCAGTTTGTCGCAGAACTGCTGCTGAGGTGTCAAGATGACAAGAGAGCATCCGGCAGTGACAGGAAGTACCGGCCATGAAGATAGAAGACAACGTTCTTTTAAACTGTGTTAAAAGTCATTGTGGTTTTGATTTGATGTGTGTATATATTCTGTCTGTGACGTATGAAGGGGCGTCGTTAATTCAAACCCTGATGCTATAAAAATCTGTGTATGCTTTGATTAAGTCGAAGATTAATTCCTGTCTGCGTACAGATTAGTCTTCCCACGCGTGTATTCATTAAAATCAATTGTTTGACCAAGATCTTCTGGACCTGGTTGTTTGTACTCTCCTTCTCAATTATGTGAACCTTAACAACACACACGCACACGCACGCACACGCACACACACAGACCTTTGACTATGAGCTGCACTTTCTTTGATCTGAAGCAGATGTTCCTGTTATACAGTCCACAGTCATATTTCCCACTGTCTCTCTCTGTGGGCTGTTTCAGGGTCAGACTGAGGTCTCCAGTTTTCAGCAGGTCTTCATTCATCTTCGTTCGGTCTCTGTAAACCTGGTGCTGTTCTTCAGGCTGGTCAGAGCCGTTCTTACATACATACAAGTGGACCATGTTGTATTCAGGTTCATAGCGTTTCCACTCCACTTTAGCATCTTCAGGCAGGTTTTGTGTGGTGCTGAAGGGCAGCTGGACAGACTCCGCCCCCTCCTCCACCTCCACCTGACACACTGAGAGGACAACAAACACAACATGAGCTGTACAAAGTGTGATTGGTGTTCAGAGCATCATGTGACTCTTGTTCTGCACTAAATGAAGCGATGGAGTGGCGCCTCCTTCAGGCAGAGAAACAGCTCATGGAGAGAAATAATTATTAGAGCAAAAACAAGAGTGGAGCTGCAAATAAGGCCGAGAGGAACGCTGCAGAAAACTGTTCATGTGTGAATTCATCACTTCATAGATTTCTTTGAGCACTAAAATCAGAGCTGCTTCTATTTCTAATATGACAGCTGTACATTAGAGCTGCAACACTTTAAATGTGAGCCATAAAAACATGATACTCTAGCCCACTGAGACTGAACCACCATCATGAGTCTGACCTCTGACCTTTGACCTGTATCTACAGCACTGACCTCTGACTTTCAGCTCCACCTTTCTCTTCAGCAGGATGTTTCCCTCCCTGCTGTAGACGGTGCAGGTGTAGGTCCTGTTGTCTCCATCTGTGGGGTGTTTCAG